ACAAGATAGTTACATGTTAGTCTATTGAATAGATTAGCGTTGTCAAACCCTCGGTTACATCCATAACTCAATCCTACTCGCCCTAACCCGGATCGAGCCAGAGAAGTATTAGCACTCCAGACCCCGTGTAACACTAGGGTTCTATAGAGCAGGCGTCTGAGGCAGCCGAATGCTTAGACGTCTTATGGCATCGACTGGCTCGCGGAAGTGACTTTCTAGCGAAGCAGGGGCGTCACTATCGCTCTCCCTTGAGTATTGTGTATTATTAAAGCTGCCTTTACTGCGTCTGGCCCACAAGCTGTGGGAATGCGGCATCTTCCTCGGCGATTGAGCGTCGCTGTCGCTCAGGCTATCGCTGCGATCGCGATCGCGTTTGCTCCCGTGCTTTCCGCTCTTGTTGGATGTGTTGTCGTCCCGGCTGATAGGCTCGGTGGCTTGGGTTATCTACCAGGACATGGCAGCGGCTTTCTATCTCTCTAGCGCCTTACTAAGCTTAGGAAAGGCATCGTATACGGCCTCTTGCTACACCTTCTTAACCTACTCTATCTTAACGCTCTTATACTTAAGGTTATAAGGGTTAGCTTCGTAGATTATAGCTATACGGCGTGACGTGATCTCTGCCTAGCTTTCTATATTATTAATACTAAACCCTCTAAAAAAGCGCTCTTCCTTTATATCTAGGTTATTATAGTTAAAGCTAGGGTCCTAGGGCTTGCGGAGAGCCATAGTTCAGACAGCGGTGGTTCTTAGTAGCGCCAGACTAGTGGTGCATAGGGTGCGTTGGTAGGTGGAGGGTTGTGTACGAAAAGAGAGCTGATTATAGGTAGAGAGCTGATTATAGGTAGAGGGTTGATTATAGGGCAGGTTAGAGCTAATTATTAATAGGCTAAGGGTCGATATAGGTGAAGGTGAGAGTAGTAAATAGTGAGCGCCAACTTACGCGCATTAAGCATCTACTACCGCAATCTATTTGCATCTAAAAGAGAAAGTCAATAAAAAAGATATAGGGTTTATTATAAGCTAAAAGTAAGAGAAGATAGTTAGGCTATTTAGCTATAGCAGCAGCTATAGCAAAACATAGTAAGAGACACTAACTACGACTTAGGATAGAGATAGATGCTGTGCGTGGCAAATAATTGCTCTTAAAAATGAGACGAAGGAGATAAAGACGTTATTTTTTTAGATTATGCTTACTAGCAAATAGTATTGTACTTTAGCATCCTTAGAGCCTAGCTGCCTAAGTCCTTTCTTTCTATTTGTAGACCCCTACGTCAAGAACTTGAGCCCTGCTATACTTTATCTACACTCTTTTAGATGCCTTAGGTACTTAGAGGAGGGTTCTTAGTTAGTAGGGGTCGTTTTATAAATAGCCTTATTAATTTAGTAGCGGTGGTAGGGGTCTTTAGTAATATAGAGGAGTATTCTACACTACGCGTATGCGTGTGTGTATGCAGCACACTGGCAGATGGCCTTGCGAGGCTCTCGCGCATCTCGAACAAACTAAGCTTAAGAGGGTCTATCATGTCCGAGTTTAGAACAAGGTGGCTGCTAGTTAGAAGAAAGTTGCATTTATCACTAAGGCACCTACTAGTCCTAGTACATGCTAATTATCTTTAAATCTAGATGCCCTCTTTATTAAGAGAGCAGCAACGACGCCTCCTTTTACAGAGATGAATAACTAGGTAGAAACCTAACATAGCGTCTGTAGAAACTAGCCTCGCGACTACTTAGATTCGTATTAGCCGCGGAATAGCCTTTATACCTATTCTTCGTCTTCTTCGTCTTGCTTATCTTGCTTGTTGCCCTCCTCCCGCTCTTCCTGCTCCTCTTTTACCTCTTATTGCACCTCTTCCTCTCCTCCGTGGGTGTCTTCTTCGATAGCGTTGAGCTTAAGCTAAGCAGCTTCAACGCACAACTTTGTAGCCTTAGCTTTAGCGCGCTTAAGAGCTTCGGCTCTAGCGTTGAACTTAGCAGCTTAAGTCAGTAGCTTGGTAGCTCTAGCTTCTGCACGTAACACAATAACTTAAGCGCACTAATATAATTTATTCGCGTGTCTCTCGTTATTAGTTAAGGCGTGACTAGAGTAAACTTAATAATTATATTACTAAGTGCGAAGATTCATGCTCTAAGCACGGCTATTATAGTGGGGGGATGAGGTGTGCTGAGCCGCACTAGAGGGAGAGAAGGCGGCTAAGGCATCATCAACGTCGTCTTTAAGCGGCGAGGGCTCGCGCTTAATCTTAATCCTGGCGGAAGAGCTGTCCCTAGGCTACCACCATTAGTTAGCGAGAGCAAGCCGCTAGGAGATGTCACCTACTATAATAGAACTAATTGACAGACTGTTTAGAAGCTTATAGCTGTTGCTATTGGGCAGGCGGGCGTGAATAGGCGCAGTTAAGATAAAGTTAAGTGGAGGAGAGAAACTAGGCAGCTAGAAGTCTAAAGTTTATAGTTACTATGAGATAAACGGCGAACCGACCTAGCTTACGTAATAGTGACTTTTACTAACGTGCGGGATCAGTAAGCTGGAAAGATCAGTAAGCTG